ATTTAAAAACTTAAGTAGAAAAAATAATAATTTATTCAAATATTAATAATCATTTGTAATTTATCTATTTTAATTTTATATATTTACTATGTCACATCAATAATCCGTTAAAAAATTAACAGTATCTCAATAACTACGTCATAATTAATTAAAAATAAAAATCATTATTTAATATATTTTTTAAAATTAATAAAAAAAATAGACAAAATATAAACCAAACTACAAGACGGATCAATTATCTAGTTAATTTTATTTATTTTTATTCAAACTGCGGGACTAGGGTAGGGAAACGAGCGGGTGGTTGCCAAAAGTCAACCCGACCCCTTTGCGACACGTGTTGGACCGAAATTAGATGATGAGATCAGATTTCACTAAATATTTAAGATAATTATTTGTTTATAATTTTTTTATTCTCAACAATATATAAATTAACAATTGTTAAAAGAACATAAAATATAATGTAAATACAATTACAATAAGAATTTTTTTAGTAATATTAAGGAAGTATAAAGTAATATTTATTTAAAGATAATTTTTAAACTTTTGAAATTGAATGCTTACACTTTTGATATTATTTTAATTTTACTATCGTAATGCACATATTTAGTGTATTCTTTACATGACGTTTCAGATAAAAAAAATTTCTTTAGGTGATTAATAAATTTATTCTATATTTTTTAATTTACAAATTATCTGTGTGTATATTTTGGTAAATTAACATAATACATAGGGGTATTCATATTTTGGTTTTTAATCGAATTAATTAATTGGATTAATTTTTTGGTCAATCAGTTAATTAATTTTAGGTTAGCTCGATTAACAGTTAAATTTTTTTTAAACATTGATTAACAGTTAAATTTTTTTAAACATTGATTATCAGCTAATTTGATTAAAAATCAGTTAATTAATCAAAGAAATCTAAATATTACTGTTAAGTTCGATGAAGCTCATTAGATCAATCGAAATATGTCAAGAGGGGGTGGATTGATTTTTTGAGATTTAAGGAGTAAGGAGTATAAAGAAAAAAATTAACTGTCGCGATACTCGCAATAGAATTCGCAATATCTACAACGCGATAAACGCAACACGATCGCATGCAACCGCAATTTAAATCTCTAATCAAATCTTTATAGATTTATTGTCAAACAACTCTCTAATCAAATCTAGAGATTTAAATAGCGACCAAATAACAGTACAACGACCGCTATATCGCGATCTGGTGATGTCTAAGATTGTTATCATGAAAAATAACGGTGTGAAGCGAAATCACACCAATAGCGGTGGATTGCAACCGCTATTTAACGGATAGCGGCCAATCGCGACCATACCAGACTGGTATTCCGTTATTTTTTCAATATTTAAAAAAAATCATTTTTTAATAAAATCAACCCATTCAAAAAAAAATCACGACTGTAATACTCACAAAAGAATTCGTAATATCTACAACCGTAATAAATGTAATACGATAGCATGCAACCGCAATTTAAATTTCTAATCAAATCTCTATAGATTTATTGTCAAACAACTCTCGTAGATACTGTTACAAAAAGAAAAAAGGATTTACCGACAATTAGTAATACGATAGATATAGATATATAAAGAAAATCTTATTATATATTATTTCCTTGTGTATCTCTTCTATTTTTCTTATATTTTTCGTTCTCAATAACGACCACCAACTTTAATATGATCATCTACCATTGATTTTTTCTTCTTCTCCTGTTTCTCTCTCTCTTTTCCTTTAATTTGAGTTGTGTTATTTTTTTGTTTAATTAATCTTCCTCTTTTTCGTATGAAAATGGTGAATGGCTTCATATACTTTTATAATATGTTTTTTGTTTGCTCTTGTAGTGTGTTATTTGTTTTCCTCAGAATTAGATTTGATGTTATCTCTCTAGATTTAGATGACGTTTATATGATTATTTTATTGATTTATTCCTACTTTTGACTATCGGACTAGATATTGACAGATGCTCGTAATCAACGAAGATAAATTGCGATTGATTTGTTGCTAATGTCAGTTTGTCAACAATTCATCAGTATTATATATATTTTTATGTCAGTGTTGATGACGGTTATTCTTCACCGTGAACAACAATGCTTGTTTATATTTGTCATTTGTTTGATTAGTTTGATTAATTTTTTAATCAGTTCCTCGTGTGATTTTTTTATTCTTAGTTAATTTGTACACTTTGATGATTTTAGAGGAATTATCTATATGATCGATCTATTTTTATTTTGTGAATTGTTCTTGTAATTTTAAAATTATTCCTCTTTATTATTTTTATTAAACTAATGTAATTATAAAGTAATATCTGCTTTCTCTTTATTTAATAGAACTAACGAGTAATTTTAGTTAAAAAAAAAACAAATTTCTTTAATTTTACTTTAGTACAAGTGACTACCTTCTGTGTATATTGACGTCTTACACATGTTATGTAGAGCAGGAAACCAAAGTTTGTTAATTTAGACAGAGTTAGGCAATTTGTTTAAAAGCCATAACATTGATCAGTGAGTGCTTTGTGATGTAAAATTATCTACATGACCTCATTTAGTAAAGTTTATTTCGAATATCGAATCACATAAATTCTTGTGTCTCGCCATTTTCTGGCTTCTTATCGTTTGGTGGATATGACAGGAGTTTTCGAATCGAAAGCCATATGAGTTAGTGTGCTCATCGTCTTATTAACTTATCGACAATCCATTAATCATCACATTGTATTTGGAACCGTTCTCCATCACTACCTGTTTCACAGTTTCTTTAAGCTAAATTCATCCAATAAAGCAGAGAATTGTTTGACCTAAAAGCCAAATCGACCAGACATGGAAGCATGCAGCAACATGGGGTTGCAACTTATAACGAACAACATTAATTAAGGACAAGATTTGAGAGAGGATTTGGAAACCCCACTTTTTAGGTGTATAATCTCATCGACCTGCATGCACTTCTACAGAACCACTCATATAAACTAATTATAAATTATCAATTACTAAATTGTATTCATTTTATGTTGTCAATTCTTATACGTACTATTAGGGATATTCAATCGATTAGTTCGGTTAATCGATCGAACTAAACTATAAAAAAATCAATAATTAAAATTTTTCTTTAGTCATTAATCAAACTGAAATTCTTTTAAAAAATTGTAACTGATCCTAATATAGTTCGGTTAATTCGGTTGATTAAAAAATTTAACCAAGATTTCTAAATAATATAAATTATACATTTAATATTTTTGCATAATTCGATTAAAATCGAAGTTTAAACACTCCTAAGGCTAAGTAATTGTAAAACTTATATTTTGATATAACAAATAAGGGCAAAATGTTTTGGACTAAATTGAATTTATTCAAAGTATCCAAAAAATAATTCAAAGTTTAAATAAAATTTTAAAATATGTTTTTAAATGTTTTTCAAACTTACTCAAACCTTGTCAAAACATACTCGATCGTTTTCGCGCTTTAAAATCATGTTTCCAAACTTCTCTGGCTCAAAGGAGCGATCCCATAACAAAAGGATCGATCCCTTGGACAACAGTGAGTTTGGGATCGATCTTTCGAGGAAAAGGATCGATCTCTTCCCAAAAAGGATCGATCCCTTGCGCCTTAAAAGTTGTAGGTTACGACTATTTTGATCCCTAACGGCTAGTAACGGTAAAAAATACATCCCAACATATAAAATGAAGTTCAAGACACTTGAAGAAGTAGACCAACACCTATCCAAGCAATTAAACACAAGAGAAAAGCTTTTCGTTCTTTATTTTCTTTCTCTTGAAAATATTTGTGTTTTTGTGAGCTTTAATTTGTAAACACCTTTCTTTTTAAAGGTTTTTTTTAACAATTCTTTTCCTTTATAATGGGGTTTTTGTTCTAGCTAAGCCTTTGAAAACTAGGGAGTTTGTAAAGGTTTTCTCTTTGTCCTTGAAAAGGAAAAAATAAATTAGTGGATTTGTTAGAATACCCTAAGTGATGAGCTTAGGTATTGGATGTAGACTTCATTGAGGAAGTTGAACCACTATAAATCATTGTACAACTTTTTCTATCTTTATACTCCTTACTCTCTAAATCTCAAAAAGTCAATTCACCCCCTCTTGGCATAATTCGGTTGATCGAACGAGCTTCATCGAACTTAACAATTGTTTTTTTTTCCTAAAGCTCTACATCAATTTCCTAAAGCAACCGAAAAGATTGTTTTTTTCCTCCGACACTTACTACATCAAAGATTCTCAACCAGTTAACAAGCTCTATTTCAAAGGAGCAAATTATGCTTATTAGAATAATAAGATAATGCTCTTCATTCAAACTACCGATCTAGATGCTTGGAGCTCTATATTGACGGGTCACTCTACTCCAACTAGAGCTATGGCGGAATAGAGTGAAAGAGATAAGAAAGAGTTTCAACTCAATGCTAAGGCCATGCACATTTTGTATTGTGCATTAGGCCCGGATATAGAAGAATCTCATGCTGTTCAAATGCCGAGGAGATATGAGACAAACTCCAAGTCCATTAAATTATGGATACATAATTAAATTTTAACCCAAATAAAAAAAATACTTTTATTATATTCAAATTAATCTAATTAAAATTTACTAAATTTCGGTTAATTTAGTTAGCCGACCGAAATAATCAAACTTTATTCAATTCGATTAATATTTTTTTAAAAATTCTATTCAATTAACGGTTAAAGAAAAATTTGATTAATTTAGTTACTAAAAATTTGATTCGACCGGTGATCGAATTAACTGTTTGAACAACGAGATCTAATGGACTAAACCGGACCTACGAGGACGCCTGCAGCCAGACTTTATTGAATCCTGCCCATGGTATTCCCAAATCACGTGTTATTACATAGATATGGACATACATTGATAAATTATATTAGTATATATATATAAATAAATATACACATAGAATTAAGAGGTCAATAAATTCATAAAAGCCCTGCAATTTTTATTATATATATCTCCATGCACAGCCCATTTCTCATTGGCCAAGAAGATACGCCTACTTTATTCATGAGTTTTGCAGATACATTTTCCACCGCCATCCTCTTCCAAATTAAGTGCAGAAAGCTCCCAAGTAACTCATCCCAAAAGCCTCTCGGCTTATCATACTCTACGTGTCAAAATGATGGTAAGCTTGCGTTTTTCCATTTATACATACATACATATACGAAAGCATGTATGATTCTCTGCATACGCCTGCGTTGTTGAGAGATAAAGTGAAGATTTGAGGTCAAATTTACATCTGCAAATGGATTCCTATCTGCATGATTTTGATGAATCTTTTTCACATGTTTGGTTGTAGTTCTTTGGTTGGGTGCAAAATAAGCTTAATGGGAAACAAGGAAGCAGTAAATTATATACAGTTCCTGCTACTCGTAAGTCGTAAGCATTATTCTCTTCTTTCTTCTGTTTCGTAGTAATTAAACTGCACTGATCCGGATAAAAATAAATAAAATAATTATAACTGTTGTAATTAGAATCCAAATTTATTAGATGTGATGTATAAAGAATGATTGCATGCATGAATCGATTTAGGCTATTATTTGCATGCATTCATATATATATATATATATATATAGTCATCCAAATTTATATAAACTCATTAAATGGTCTCATTATTAAAAGGGAATGTTATTTTTCTAGAGATCCTGAATTCAAATAATTACGTCTATAGATATGTGTACATTGTCAATAATTAATAAATATTCAAAATAAATGCTACATTGTAATAATCACTTTAAGATTATTAAAAAAAATATTATATGCATCAACTGAATTCGTTTTTTATGTTCCTCTTTCCTGTTAGCATGCATCCATATTCACATATATTTTCAGTTATAGTCAATAGGGATGAACGTGAAATATTGTTGAAAACATTGTAATTTGTAAGTTGTCCTGTATGCTTGTTTAAGAGGGACCCGTTCTCATTCAACTTCCCCCAATAATATATTCTTCAAACTTTTTTTTAAAACCAAAATAAGAGACAATGGATCCGAGTCTTTTGATAAATCCATGGTCTTTGTCGTTAAAATCTACAAAGCATAACCCGGATACTACCACGGTACAAGGCATGTCGCACATGCGATCTTCAACCTAGTGTTTGACATGTCGTTTCTTGTTGTTTTCTCTGATAGAGCACATGAAACAAGAGTCTCGGCAAGAGTTCAGCGATTGGCCTCATGGATTGTTGGCAATAGGAACATTTGGTAACAATAATGACATTGCCGAGAATCCTCGATCCCGAGACGTCACGCCAAAAAATCCCTTCCACATTCAAGAGGTGCAGGAGCCGTCTTCGTCCGAGTATTTACATGAATTCACGCCCGAAGAAATTGTGAAACTAGAAAAGGAATTAACAAAACTCTTGTCCCGAAAACCCGCTTCCGATGATAAAAAGGAACTGGCAAAACTACCATTGGATAGGTTTCTCAACTGTCCATCGAGCTTGGAAGTTGATAGGAGGATTAGCAATGCACTTTGCTGTGATTCGGTGGATAAATTGGACCAAGAAGACATTGATCGAACCATCAGTGTTATCCTGGGCAGATGCAAGGACATTTGTGCCCAAAATAAGAAGAAACCCATCGGGAAGAAATCCATTTCGTTCCTATTGAAGAAGATGTTTGTTTGCAGCGCTGGGTTTTCACCTGCACCGAGTTTGAGAGATACACTGCAGGAATCGAAATTGGAGAAGGTAAATTAAGCGGAGACCTGATTTTTTTTTTATATTATAAACATTATAATTAACTGCGAAACTGTATCAGATTTTTTACCATTCAACAGCTTTTGAGGGTAATGCTTCACAAGAATATTTACAATCAAAATCCTTCTCGAGCATCAGCCATGAAGATATATTTAGAAGACAAAGAAGCACCCAGAAGGCCAAATAATGAAGATGAAACCCAGAAGAGAAAGAGTGAGGTTGGATATAAATGGGTGAAGACAGATTCCGAGTGTAAGCTTGGGTTTTCATGGTAGATTTAATCATTAGCCAAAAACATGCACAAACCACGCTTTTCAGTCACATGTTATTGAATCTTATTGCATGTTTCCCTATTGCAGATATTGTCCTGGAGATTTAACGGCACCGAGATTTGCTGGTTCCCATGTCCCAATCTAGGATTCAGGATAGGAAGTTCAGCGTGGTGAATCAAAAGTTATAAGACAAAAAGACAAGTGTATGATTCAGACATGGATCTGTGTTTTGTTATAGCTGAGAGCTTCCCCTTATTCTCTATGGTTGTAATTATGGATGCAATGCAACCCATGTTCATGAGATATATCTGCAATAGATATCTGTATTTCACTGACAGCAATATCTAGACATTATTTATTTAATTTAATCATAAAAAATAATAATTTAAATTCAGTATAAGAATAATTAAATATAATTTGGAAACATCAATTGAATAAAAATTATATGAATTACATAAATCATTATTTATTATTTTAGATTGCGATAGAATATGCAATCACCAAATTTATCCTATTTTCTAATAATTTTTACATGTAATTGTGATTACTACTGGTTCAAAAGTGGATATATATTTTGTAGTTGAATGAGCAAAACAAAAGGTTCAAGTCAACTTAAAAGAACAGATTATACTAATTAATTCAGTTGAATAAAACTGATTTTGATACTTATCTTTAGTAGCAATATTGATACTTGACGTTATGAGTTATAATTGATTTAGGTATTGGGTGAATTTTATGTCAAAATAAAATTAAAAAAGGAAAAAGCAGATGAAACCAAATTCCACCATGTCAACCTAATCCCCAATCCATTTTCCCATCCGTCTCTAATTTTCCCGCATTTTCTCTCTCTTCCGGCGATATTGGATCCGACTTCTCTGATATATATTTTTTTACTCCAACACCACTTAGTCCCTTCAAATCGGAAGAGAAAAATAAGCCCCAATTTCTTATCTTCCGAGGGTTTTCCACTTAGGTTCTTCTTCTTCTTGGATCTAGGATTATTAGAATCTTTGATTTTGGGTTATTCGTGATATTTACTTCTTTGGGTTGCTTTTGTTTTTCTGGAGGGGTTTTACATTGTTAATTTTTTGGAGTTCGGGGTAGATTATAAAAGGGGAATTCTCAATAGCCAATGCCATATTTCATGTTTGGGTAATTGGTACTTCATATTTTCTGCGTAGGTTTTTTTTTAGAGACCGAAAAAAAGGTGATCAATGTCTTGGGCAGGCCCTGAAGATATCTACCTATCTACTTCTCTTGCCAGTTATCTTGACAGTATGCTCTTTATCTCTTTTGTTTTTGCTGTTAAATTTATGGTGTCCTGAGATTTGTTCTTTGCTGCAAATATATTGTTTCTTTTGGCATTGGCTTTGAGTTGTTCTAGTAGGTGTAGTTGTTCTGTCTTGTGTTTATATGGTGATGGGTCGTTGAATTTCTAGTTCTGTGCTTATTCTTATGTAGGGTTCTTCATTTAATTGTTTATGATTCTGCAGTCCACTGCGGATATTAGTTAATAGTCAATAATAATTAGTAGAAGCCATTAGTTAAAAGCTTGATGGCGGTCATGCTGTGAATAATTTTGTTGTTTACTGATATTGGTCAAATGGGAGCTTAATCAGGTATTTCCTATGATGCTGTCCATAAATTCTGATGATTCTAATAAGGAAGACCAGATTACGATGATTCTAACCGTCTATCATTCATGGAAAAACTTTTGTTTGAATCGTCCTCACAGATAATAGAAGTCAGATGTTTGTACTTGTCTGCTGGTTCTTTTGATGGTATGTTTGTCAATATGTGGTTAATTTTGTTGTTGATTAGTTGACCATTAGAAGAATTGAAGTTTATAAGAAATTGGTTGTATTTTCATAATGCTTGGGTGTGATTGGCATGGTTCCTACTGTTAGAGTTATTTATCAACAGCATCATTTTCATAATGCTTCAGATGTGGTTTTATTGTATATACACAGATTTCTAGTGTATTTTACACATCACTATCAGTTGAACTAAATCTTCATGCACAATTAATTAAAATATCTTATTGGTCTATATTTTCTCGCAGATTAGTTGTTCTTTACAGATCAAAACTCAGTTTTTGGCAAAAATCTAGATTTTAATATATAAATATATGTTGTGAAGTATTTATAGTTGGATTCTGAGTTCCATGAACATATGCAGGCACAGAAAGCAGAAAGGGAGGCAACAGATCTCAAAGGTACAATGAGGAAAAGAATGGAGTTTCTTGATTTGGACTAATGCATGTCCCCTGCCTCCTCTTTTAGCGATCCACAAGTATTATGGCGGTTGTTGGTGTAGTAGATGCGTTGTGTAGGCTAGAAGATCCTCCATCTCCCTCTCAGCATCCAGTTATTGTAACATTTGTGAACAATGTTTCTGACTAGGCTTAGCCTCGATTTGCTGGTGCCTTAAAATTAGTTTTGAACTCTAGTTGGATATTTTCACTTATGGGAAGTCTCCCAGGTTACTTTATGTTGACTGAAATTTTGAATAAATATTTAATTAACAAAAAGAGAGAATATTCAGAAGTATTTAATGAGATGACCATCGTGTTAAGTAAATCAAGAAACTACTTCTGCTTGCTCCAATGGTGGCTGTTAACTTGTTATTGTAATTTCTTTTTTAACCATCAACATGAAAGTTCAAAATGGGTAATTCTTTAAAGGGTAAATTACACATTTGGTAACTCAATTTTATTATCTCTCCCATCACTCATCATACTTTCAATTTTTTTCAATTTAATCACTGATTTTTATACATCGAATTTTTTGTGTTACGACGCTGATAAATTAAATATTTTTATCCGTTAAATTTCATGTCAGAAAAAATATTAAATTAAATATTTTTTTGAACTCGTCCTCTTCTTCATCCAATTCGCTTTCTTCTTCCAACTCTTCATCATCATCATCATCCGCGATAAAGCCACCTTTCTTCCCCTGCAACAACAGTTTTCTTCTGCACATAACTTCTCGTTTCCCACCATTCTTCTTTGGCTTGTCACGGTCCTTCGATCTCGTAGCATAAATTACTCTTCGGACCTTACTTCCTTTCACTGCAACCAATTTCAGAAACCAAACACAAATTTAGTTCAGCAAATTTCAGAAATAAGCAATCATACTTACAACTTCAAACTCACACTCAATTACAAATTACAAGAAAATCAAGCTCTGCATTTATTAGTTCATCATCCAACTAGAAAAAGAATAAGTTACAAATCAGTTAAAAATAATGTAAGTGAATAATTTTCTATGATTTTCATTTTCTTAGTAACCAAATACAAATCCAGTGTAACAAAATTTAAGAACTAAGAAGCAAATTTTACATTTAATAGAGTCGATATCTTCAATGTCAACAGTCTTTGCTCCACTCTCACTACCCAAATCCATTTCTTCTTTTTCATTTTCTTCCGTTTTCTTCAATACAGACCAAATAGGAACCTGACTCAAAACATAGAACCAATCGTCGTTTTCCACTTGACCTTTATCGGAACATTTAAAAACTTGATCTCTTCGTTCGTTCTGCTTCTTACACAAATCAGATTCCTGCCAATAACTTCAAATGAAACCCTGGGCTCATTTGGTGTTTCCAGATTTTGTCAACCAGAGTTTCAAGCTCGAGTTCAACGTGACGACGGGAGACGATTCGATCAGTGATGTTGAACCCTTTTGAGCTTTGGGGTTTTGAAAAAGGGGAGAAAGATGATGATGATTTGCGATTTGAGGTATGAAGGTTTAAGATTAGGGTTTGAGTGTAAAATTTAAAGAATTTTATTTTTTAAATTATAAACCTTAGGTGACAGATTTTATTATTAAAATAATCCATATAATAACTCTAAACGGTTAAATGGTAAAAATAAATTTTATGTATAAAATTTAAAATACGATAAATAAAATATGAGATAATAAAATTTAATTACCAATGTGTAATTTATCCTTCTTAAAAATCAATTGAAATTATGCCTAATCAGCTGCCGTATTGGCCTCATTAAGAAAAACAAGGAAAGAATGTGGGGGAAAAAGACTGTTTTGTAAAACTCTTATCAATTTTGAAATTGAAGAAAACTATTCTCGACGGTAGTGGATATCTCTGGCCAGCCCTTGATCTTTTCCATTCTTCTTAGTTTATTTATTTATTTATTATTCTTACTGTTAAGTAAAAGTAGTTTCTCCGTAAGAAATAAGTTTGTCAATTTTAGTATGTTTTCATCCGTGTAGCAAATTCTAGTTATGTTTTGACAGTTGCACAGCAAGAATCCATGTTCCGTTAGGACCATATTCAGAGAGCCACACATCAAAGATGAAAGACTATACTGCATCTGCAAGGAGTTCTGTGTTGTTTTGCATCTGCATCCCCGATGACCATTGCAAGGGGGTGATCCCGGCACCCAAGAATCAAGAGCTCCGGTATTGGTTAAAGATTTCTTCGGCTTCAACAAGGCCTCGGAATCCGATGCAGAAAATGCCCATGGCAATAGTACCAAGAAAGTTGACGACAACAATAGGAGAGATTTCCTCAAAAGCCAAGCCATCGCCATCGCCATTGCTGAGGCCACGAGATGGTTTCTGGCAATGTATTGATTGCGGGAGCTCTTGTTGTGCAACATTTTGGTATCGTTTTATGCTGTTGGTGTGTTTTCCCGTTTGTCAGTATTTCGTGTTGGCTTTCCGTTGTTATTGTTGTTGGTGAACTAATATTTCGTATTGGCTTGTGTGTGTCTTTGTAAATACTATATATTATTAGATAGATAAGGTTTAATACTGAATTTTGTTTTTAATCGATATTGTTAACTAAACCAAATAAATGAGAATCTAATGTTAGTTTTCAATTGAAGTATTACTATTTTTTTGTTAAAAATAATTGTAAGAATTTAAACCTATCTTTTAAAAAAATAATTTTAAGAATTTAAACATAGACAATAATTAAAAAATATTATAAATATATAATATTTTATAATTACTGACGGAGCCATCAAAAGATAGGGTTGTCAAATGGCACCCCAAAAATTTCTAAAAAATAAAATTACCTATAAAAATCTTATATTATATAATATAAAATAAATAAATGACACCACTTTTAGAAATATTCTGACCTCTTAAAAAAGAAATGGCATAATATCAAAATTAATACCCAATATTTATTCAAACAATTATTTTAGTCCTTATTCATTTTTAGAGTAATTTGGCACATAATATTTCATTTTAGGGCAAAAAAGACCCCTCAATGTATAAAAATAATTAGTTATCAAACGGTTAACACTATAAAAGAGTGATATTTTATATCCCAAAATGAAACGTTTGGAGTCAAAATGCTAAAAAAAAGAATAAGAAATAAAATGACCATTTTAATAAAAGATGGGTTGATTTTAGTATTATACCAAAACAAATTGACCCTATATTTTTTAAAAAAAAAAGTATATATATAATTTAGTTTAAATATCACAATTTAAAACTATGACAAGGTAATTTAAGGTTTATAGCTCCGTCCCTATTTACAATAATGACCTTATACCACACAGCGCAACGATAGGCTTCTTTTTGGGCTTGAACCAAAAACAACGTAGGTACGACCATAATTTTTATTTTGGTTACAAGTAATTAAAGGCTCACAGACACTACTCCACAATCATGTTGTCTTTGTCCAACCAGTACTTTATCCCACCTACCTCTAACATCACCATAATTGATCAAAATGACACTCATGTATTATCATATTAATCTTCTTTATTTTAGATCCTCCGATTGGGTTTGTATACTTGATTTTTGTTCGTGAATAATTTTTTCATGTCGTTTATATCTAATTTGTTATTTTATCAATAATCTTTCAATAACTTGGTCATTTTTGCGATTAGATTGTCGATGCGATCATATTTATTTGTATTTATCATTGTTCGAGTTTTGATTAAATTTTTTTAATCTTTCATTGTATGATCCTTACATGATCTTAAATTACTAATTATGTGTCAATAATTTTAGGAAAATATTCTAATTGTGTGCTTAGTTTATACTTATGATTGTAAATATGTATTGTAATCCCTTTTAAATAAAATTAGGAGCTTTTATAAGAAAACATGCATAATAACTAATTTAATTTCAAAGACTCAATGAGGTTCAAATAATAAATTTAAATATAGAATTTATTGAGTGATTTTGTGATAAAAAGAAATTTTATTTGTTTAGAAGTTCTAAATTGAGCAATTATGTTAGAAGGATATGTATTTTTAATCAATAAATTAATTTTTTTTTTAAAAATAAATATTACTTTATAATCATTTATAATTTAAAAGTGTAATTCATAAAATAGATTAAAAAAATAAGAAACAAACTCAATTAAATCTGGTTCAATCAATAATTAACTTCAACATTCAGTAAAAGAAATCGAGCTAAGGTTAGCAAAATTGCAAAGAAACTCACCCTGGCTCTTCTTCACCCCTCTACTATTGTCTTTCAAGGCTTCAACATTATTATAGTACAACTGTCAACTGTACAAGCAGTCTGTTTTTATCTTCCTTTTTACTTTTTCCATTATTGTAATAAAAACGTGCTCCAAATCAAATACATAAACTAGTGTTATTGACAATTCCAAGATAAAACCAGGACAACTCATTTACTCATCGGATTTAAAGAACGTGGGGTGAGAGTTGGATAAGCTTGCTTTCCTTCATCCCAGGTTATATTTCATTTCCGGCTTAGATCTCCTAAAACCGGATAAAGACCATGAAATTTGATGTCCCATTAAATTTTCATCTTTGACAGTTGTTTCAGTCAGCTTTTGTAAGAAGCTCGAGAGCTTTCAGACAACAACAACGATTGAAGGAAAAGAAGCGGCAATGTCCAATTCAGGCCAAAAGTTCGGCAAGGCTCTCGAGAGAGCAAGTTTCGTCAATCTTCTTAGCCAGTTCTTGAAAGAAAAAAAGAAATCTTGGGGATATCAGTGTTGGGATGGCTTCAAAACATGAATCTAAAGGTACCCTTTTGCTTCTTCTTCTTCTTTTAGAAGGGTTGTATGATCTATGAGCTTTTTGCTTGGGTTGATTTCTATGGGTCGTTTATATGAAGAATTTACAGATCTCTTTGTCTGGTGATGTTTCAGGGATTGAATCATGTAGGCAACGAGCGGCGACGATGAACTTTTTGCCTAATATGGATAATTCTTCTGAGAATTTAAAACCGACTCTTGGGGCATCTACTTTAAATTCAAACGCGAAACCTTCTGGGTTTTTCCCAGAGATTGGTGCCTCCGGTTCCAAGGAAGATACCAATAACACGACAGATTAACGACTTTCCTTCACACAAGTTCAAGGAAATCATGGACATTTTAGCTAGCTATGGATGCTCAACTGCATGCAGTGGCGTTGTTGCTGAAACCATCATGGAAAAAGTTAATTATAAAATAGACAAAGTCGAGTCTAGAAATCCTGAAATTCCGGACGTGAACGTCGCCACCACGACTGGAAATAGTCCTCCTCGGGTTCCATCCGTTGAGTTGTGTGAATATGGCGGTTCAGGTAACTATTATTTGACCTTCAATCAAATCCAGGAAGTTCCTGTTGGGAAATTTTTGCAAGGTTTTTTAACTATTAATGGCCAACTCTAAGTTGTTTGCTTTCTTTGCAGATTTACGAATTGCCCGAAGAAATTCACTTCACAAGTTCTTCGAAAAGAGAAAAGACAGGTAAGAAAGTTTTCCCTCAACTATAAAATTTTCCGATGCTGCAAAAGCTTCATATAAACTATTTACTTCTCCCAGATCCCAGGAAACTTGTATCCTTTGACAAATGGAGTAAAAACTGGCGTCTTAGATTGCAAACTATGAGGAACCCTTGTTTTATTTTTCCTTTTATCCCTCAAACATCGAAACACAATATGAAAACTAGGCTCACAGTAGAATCTTAATTCCAGGATCTGCATAGCCTGGCGTTGAAGGTTTAACCAGATCAAAGACCCAAGTTGTGATTTTATCTTGTTCTTCTTGTATTTGTTGAATTACAACACTAAATTGACAGCATCGGCTTCATTTTCAGGGCAGCTGCAAGAGCGCCATACCAAGTTAACGACATTAGAGGGTCTCCTCCGCCTCCTAAACCCGACGAGAGCAGTCCATCTCAAGTTATAGTAACATTGTTTCAGTTGTGTTGTAACATAGGGCCGCCTTAATTAGTGTGTACAGGTTCCGGATTCTTCTGTTACAACCAGACTGATATCTGATTCATTCTTCCGTGCAAGTTTCATCCATTGATTATTAGACAACAAAGCCCTCATAAAATCCGTTTTCTATCGTCTACTCGATGAAACTTTGCTGTTATTTAGTTGTTATCATTGGTGAGTAGGAAGCAGACTGAAATCAGATGATAACTTCATTAGAGGATTTAAAATCAATGAATGAGAAAAGCAGGGATGAATATTCAAGTTTATGTTGTTAAACCATGATTGGTAACTAGAGGCCGTCGGGGTTCCCGTGGGAAGCAAGCAAATTATTTTGATTTGGATGACTGACCTCCCAAGAGGGGGAAGGGCGTATGCAAAAGGGACTACGTTACAAAAGGACCGAATTTAATTTCCGCATAATCTTTCTTTCCCTTATAATTCAGAGAGGCCATCAATAGAGCTGCAATGTGGCAACTTGTCCCAATAACTCAGTAAGTTATCTTTAAGTTAGGTGGATAATTTTGGTCCAATAAGTCAAGTGGGTAAAAAATTGGCTCGTTAAGTTATCTTTAAAATTAATTTTGAATCTACAATATTTGTTATAGTGATTAGAATTTATCACGTCGACGTAATGTGTTTTAATAAAATATATTTTTATTACAACTTGTCATCTTAACGTGACAAAATTTTAATAAAATATTATATTTTCTAAATTCATCACATCAATATGACGAGTTTTCTCAAATTAATTTTGGAGATGTTATTTCTTGCTGTTGGCCTATTGGGCTAATTTTGCCACCGTAAGGTAGCCTATTGGGCTGAAGCTTTTGTACTTTTCCAAGCCTCATTGCCCATTGGACATGGATTTTGTATTTTTGTTGTACATAAAATAAATTGTAATAAACTCACTCCAAAAAAAATCAATTTCCTAATACACATGTACACGTGTGATGTTATGATTTGTTGCGGTAAACACTTTCAACATTAACAAATAAATTTATATATTTCCGAATTCATATAAAATCATTTTTGGATGCACTCATCACCTTTCTCTTTCTCTCTCTGTAGAGGTCCTCTTTCCTTTCTTTCTTCCGTTTATCGAGGTCCCCTCACACTCCGAACCCTAGCAGAGGTGAAGAGAACAAAAGGTGTTTTTTTCTTCTTGGAAACCACACAAGCTCCTGAGGCCGAGGAAAAATGGATCCCCTGAGGCTGAAGCAACAGCAACAGGCCCTGATGCAACAAGCTCTCCTCCAACAACAGTCTCTCTATCACCCTGGCATCTTGGCACCTCCTCAGGTTTTCTATTTTTTTTTTGTTTTATTATCTCTTTAATTTTTCATCAATTTCTCTTTTCATTAAGCATCTGCTAGTACTTGATCCAGTTTTCAGGAATGATATGTTGGATACCCCTGGAAATCGTGTTTGGATCTTCCTGTTCTTGTTTGATTGTTTTATTGTATTTGAATTGGTGGATATTGGGTTTGTGTGGAATTTGATGAAAGATGAGCTTGTACCACGAGTTTTGCTTGATTTCTATCGACTTTGTTCCTTTTTTTATTTCAACGTGATTTAAAAGAACTTTTGTTTTCTTGTTTTATGGTCAGAGATATTTTTGGATTTGGAATTTGATATATTTGATTATGAATATTTTACATTTTCGTTTTCTTGATGTTCAAATATCGTTATTTCTCATAAACAAAGTTCAATGGAAAAGCTACTAGGTTCTCTGTTGCGTTTTCTTTCTCATTTACCTGTGCTTCTTACTTCTTTGATTTTATTTAGTTTATTACTAATATAATCTTCATTTTGTTTTGGAAATGAGATATGACTGATTGTGTTCTAAACTGTTTAATTGTCATCTTTTTGGCACGAACGCACAATCAATTAACCAGTCATTTTGACCATGTTTATATTTATCTATCTTTATCTCTAGTTTGGAAATATTTTGTTGAATGTGCAACTTATCTGGTTTTTTTTCTTTCAAGCACTGGAGTTTAAAACGTGGCATCTACATTTTCATTTTGTGAATCTTTGGGTTTATATTGCTGAAATATAACGTCATGGAGCTAATATATAAAATATGTGGTGCAACATTTAATGTATTTGCATTCTTTCTAAGTTACATGTCCAGCATTTCTTTATCTTTGAATTGTGCAGAAAAGTATATAGTTGTTTTTCACTTAGGAGTTAGGAGGAGGAGTTCAAGGGAACTTTGAGCATCATTATCCTTGAACTTAGGAGGAAGGAATTCACTTTAGGCTCAATTATTTTTTATTGGTCTGTACTGAAAAAAATGAAAGATGAAAGCCTATATTGTCTCTGTCTTTAAGTAGAAAATGTTTTCAAAGTAGAAGTGATGCTCGCATTTGTGATGGTTGTAGTTAGCATTTTGTTTTTTTTTTTCTAGGTTGACTGTTGGATACTGTCAAAAAATCCTCTTTCCCAGATTCGGAGGCTTTAGAATTGAGTTGAGTCGGAAGTGACATTTTTTGTACACCGTTTGTTCTTTTCCCCTCTTTTTTTATTTTTCATTTTTTTATTCCGCAGATAGAGCCAATCCCAAGTGGAAATCTGCCTCCTGGTTTTGATCCAAGTACTTGCCGCAGCGTGTGAGTGTTTGCGTAGATTTTTTTTCCTTTCTCCATTTTGTTTCTTTTGTATATTGCATCACTTATTTCCCTTCTTGCTCAAGCAACTACCCTAGTCACTTTTGTGCTTATAACCATATACATTAGAGGTGCTTTTCTTCATGAGTCTGGTGATTGAATGTGTTGCTGTGACCCTTTGTGCAAAATTCTAAGCAAATGGCTCCTTTAATTGATAGATAAATGGATTTTGGAATGTGATAGTCTGATAGATGCTTGTATGCTCTTGCATCTTTTAAACAACATATAAAGTTGCTTATATGATCTTTTTGTCTCTTTTTCCTTTTTTTTTTTTTGAACTTCTAGTTTTTTAATTTTTGAGATCCTGTAGGTTTGTGGGAAACATCCATTCTCAAGTGACTGAACCACTACTACAAGAGGTTTTTGCAAGTACTGGTCCTGTGGAAGCTTGCAAGCTTATTAGAAAGGAAAAGGTATTGTTTTCAATATTTGCCCTCATCCTTTTTGAACCTCTAAGATGCTATGAGGGTGCTCTTATTGTGCAACGGTTAACTTTCTTGACTCAGTTTTTCTCCCCTTCCCTTTCACATGTTATTTCCAAATGGGGACATGATTTTTTCCTACTGGAAACAGTCATCATATGGGTTCATTCACTACTTCGATCATCGATCAGCTGCTCTTGCTATATTTTCTCTAAATGGAAGGCATTTGTAAGCATTAACTTTTAGTTTTTTACCTCTTAGGTTCTTACTTTGTTTGGGGTTAGCTTTGATATTATATCATATAATCTTCAGATTTGGACAGCCTATCAAGGTCAATTGGGCATATGCTAGTGGTCAGAGAGAGGATACATCAGGTTTTCTCATTTTTCGTTTGGAAAATTTTGCTCAAGAACATTTTCCATGTGCTGGAAATTTTCTTTCTTGTTATACTCTTTGATATTATCAAAACTAGTGCAGGTCACTTTAATATTTTTGTTGGGGATCTCAGTCCTGAGGTTACTGATGCAATGCTGTTTGCATGCTTCTCTGTCTATCAGAGTTGTTCGTAAGTGTGTTTTTTCTTTTTGATATTGATTTAAATAAATGCATTGTGCATGGCTTGAATCTAACTTCTTAAAAGTAAAGGCCTAAGCTACAGTGGTAATTTATTGGTGTCAGAATGAATATCAGTTTTGATATCTTAACTGATTCAGGGATGCGAGGGTTATGTGGGATCAAAAAACAGGTCGTTCAAGAGGATTTGGGTTTGTTTCATTCCGAAACCAGCAGGTACTGTTTCTTGGTTAAGCTTCTGGTCTCTCCTATTTCTTCCATTATAATGTTGTTTCGTCTATGGTGTTGACCTTTTTTCCCCTCTGTTCAGGATGCACAAAGTGCAATTAATGACTTAAATGGTAAGATTTATGCTTTTACTATACACATGTACTTTCGATATCTTCATTGATTGCATTTTTAGCTTCAAAAGTTTTACTTCGTATCTTTCATGCTGTGGAGTGTTCTTAATATGTTACTGAAATAGTAGTAAAAAAGTCTTCCCTTTTCTTTTTCCTCTGTTATTCTTTCATGATTATTTTGTAAAATCACCATGTGCAGAGGACTAATTCGTTAAAATGTTGTGCTGAGTTGTTATTGTTGTATTTAGTATTATTTTTAGACAAATCACATGCATGAATTGCTGTTATTCAAATTGCAGTTAAAATTCAAATGTGCTTTTGATTTATTGTTCTAGGAAAGTGGCTTGGCAGTCGGCAGATCCGTTGTAACTGGGCAACGAAGGGTGCTAGTAGCAACGATGACAAGCAAAGCTCAGATGCTAAAAGTGTGGTTGAACTAACCAATGGTTCATCAGGTATATTTGTTGCAGTTGGGTTCTTTAAAATCATTCACATTAATGATACTTTGTTCAATGCGAAACACGCTTTTATGGATCTTTAAAATTTGCACCAAGAGGGAAATAAACTTACATTTATTACCTTGGTATGCAGAGGATGGTAAAGAGACCACCACCAATAATGAGGCTCCAGAGAATACTCCTCAATATACTACTGTTTATGTGGGCAATCTTGCTCCAGAGGCAAGTAATTCTATGCAACAGCTCTTCTATTTACTCCCTCTGCCCCTCTTAAACTGTCACAGTTGATTGGAACCAATTTTTTAAACATATTAATTAAAATTTGTAAAGTATATATTTAAAAAGTACTTTGAAAATTTTTGAAGTATATTTTTTTTTCAATTTTTTATCAATAATAAATAATCAAAGTTAAAAAACTCTAACCATCAAAAGTCAAAATGTGACAACTTTATTGGGACGGAGGGAATATTATTTTTGCACATGGAAGTTAGTGCCAAAATGGGTGTTACCCTATCAGTACAAGCGTTTCACTAATTATGGTATGCTCTTGAAGCATCCTCAAGTGTATGGACTGTTAGAACTCCCATCCTTTAGTGAAGTTTTTACTGCATGTGAGAGTTAGACTTGTGTTCTGAATATTCATTGTACTTTGAAGGAACTTTTTAGGTTGTTGAATTAAACAATTATCTTTTAATCCTGTAGGTCACTCAACTTGAACTCCATCGTCACTTCCATGCTCTTGGTGCTGGGGTGATTGAGGAGGTTCGGGTTCAGCGTGACAAAGGCTTTGGCTTTGTTAGATACAATACACATGCTGGGGCTGCTTTGGCTATTCAGATGGGGGGCACTCAATCATTTCTATGTGGAAAGCAAATTAAGGTATGTTCTCTGGTTTTCAGTCAGAGTATGGCTACTGTATGTGAGAAATATAAATATGTAGATATTGATGTGTAGTTTTTGAGTCTTTGGAGTATGGTTTTGAAGTTCTGTGCGTAAGTTGGTATATAAATTGAATCATTGACCAGTTAACATCCTACAATGAGTTGGATTGCTATTAGGGATGGTCAATGATCTTTAGATTCAGTCTTTACTTAATCTGTAATCTCATAGTTACTTTGCCAACTTACTTTTAAAAAAGCTGTTTGGTCATTGGATAATTGAGAAGTTCAGAAATTGACATCTATAATTTGTTTGTTAGTGCTCTTGGGGCAGCAAACCTACACCACCTGGGACAAGTTCAAATCCACTTCCCCCACCTGCAGCTGCACCTTTACCTGGTTTTTCAGCAATTGACCTTTTAGCTTATGAGAGGCAGTTGGCTATGAGCAAAATGGGTGGCGTTCATGCCCTAATGCACCAGCAGGGACAGCACCCTCTCAAGCAGGCAGCAATGGGAGTGAGTGCTGCTGGAGGCAGCCAGGCTATATATGATGGTGGCTTCCAGAATGTTGCTGCTGCCCAGCAGCTATTGTACTATCAGTAATAAAAATAGAGTTCGTGTGATAATATCCTTAATTCCTCTGCATTGGCATGTTTTATTTGAGTTATAAACATTTAGGAGGCACTGCTTTTATCTATAGCCATGTGTTTGTCTATTGCATCCTTTACCTATTTCGACATTCTATTGAGTTCTAAACACGGTTAGGAAGCTTCTTAATATATTTTCGCCTATATATTGCATACAGTATCATTGGATATATATAAACCTTTCTCTGGAGGTTACTTCTACATGCTTGGTATTTATTCTTGTCATGTTTGGAAGAAGAAAAAAAGAACAGTTCGAAACAATTTCATATGAAGCAATATTAGTGATGGGGTTTATCACTTTGCAAGAAACATAACGGTAAAATGCAATATCCAACGGTCATTGACTCATTGTTAAACTCACAAATTCAGTCTGAAAGACTGCACCTGGCATCTAAAAATGGTAATGCGAAAGGAGGGAGAAAAGGTGGATATCCGCCAGCTGTCTGCCTCTACAACTATTTAGAAGTACATTTAAAGTTGGTGGAACTGGTGGGGATTGCAGCTTCATCAGTCTGTTTCCAACCTGGCAAAATATTTGTCATAGAATTTCCCTGGTTTCTCGAGGTCTCTTAGCTCGGTGTAGCAATCAGCAATCGCTCCATAACCTTCTGTATTTCCAGAGTCCTCTCCTTCCCGATCAGATATTGCTAAAACCATCAAGTGGTATTTAATGGCTTCTTGATATTTGCCTCGTCTTTGCAATGAGGCACCTGAATAAATAAAACTCAAGTTAAGACTGTTAAGTTTGCTGCTAGCCTTTACATAAACTAAAGTTGCCAACCGAGTGATCTCTCCAAAAACAATAGCTTAATGCACACAGATCCAAAGCAAAATTTCACAAGGCATCATAATCCTTAACTCTCTTTGGCCACTTGGTTGGCTTAAACCATAATAGTTATAGAATGCAAATTCAGAGATGAAGAGTAGTTAGGTAAACGAAGAGAAAACAGACCTAATCCTCTGGCAGCCGCCTTCTCCTCGATAGGATCTTTTAGATTCTTAGCAAGGTCAGTGCTGTCTTAAACTCTACAAAAGCCTTCTCAAGTTCTTGATTCCTTAAAATATTCTTCCCACTCTTCAACCGAGATATCAACTCTTCCTTTCTTGGATCGACAATTACTTCATTTTCAGATATTCTACCACCGACAGGTGCATAACTCAGGCTCGGAGCATATGACTCTATCTTAGCCTGCCTTCTTAGAGCAGCATTTATCTGGCGCAGCTGCTCGTTCACTCTCTGCAATTCCCCTTTCCTCTGTCGTGCAAGCAATCCTGAAGTACAAATTGTGGATTATCTGGGAAATATAAATCTTTACAACATGGTTTTTAATGCATTTCATGGACATCTGTATCACATCATTTTCCAAAGTGAAAAAAGAAGAAAAAGGAATATAAATCCGACATAATGTAGAACAAGCCATTGCAAGATCATTTCAATTAGTTAAATGGATTGATCAGAATGGATACCAGAAGGAAAACTGAATAGTTAGATGTTTCAATCACCCATTTCAAGGTGGTATCCCAAACTGAAAACAGCTATCTTATTTCTGAGCTTCTGAGAACCGAGACAAGATTCTCTAAACTTTTAGGTTTAGCCATTGGGAATTTCTTTTCACAATATCTTGGAATCAAATCCGAGTCTAGGAATTTTAGGATAACAATTTCTTCAAGCAAATCAAATACAACGTGAACAATAAAATATCAATCACAGGTTGTGTTTGCATCATTTTATGTTCATTTAAGCAGCCATTATGGACAAGAACCAAAGACGAGACAGAGTAAAAAGTTACCTCCAACTGTGGCACCAATAAGGGATACAAACAGCAGTAATGGCATGTTGAAAAAGGAGTTATTAGCCTCACAAGTTTCAGCCAGGGCTTTGAAAGGAGCAGTAAATATCAAAATGTTGGGGGCAAGAAATGCCATCACCCGGACTCTTAACCTTTAGCTTCCCTGCCCCAGTATAAGCTTTCAATTAATTAGTACTGTTTGAAGAAAATGGAGGAAATTCTGTTAATTTACAAAGAGTGAATTGATACCACCATAAATCGCCAACAATCAATTAATTTCAAGGCATATGCATCTTTCATGAACTCCAGATATTGAAATTTAAGCATTATATAAATCTTAAATGTCCAAATTATATACATATAGCTCACAATCATATCAAAATAAACGTGAAATAAGAAGCTAACTGCTCTGTTTGTTACCAAGATCGGAAATAATAATAATAACACAAAAAGCTGCCAATAGGACTCACCATCATACCTCAAGATTATGTAACTGTTCTAAAATTTCATCATAATGGGATGAAATTCATTTAAAGACCCGCTTTCCCTCTGGTATTTGGCACTGTAGTAAAGACTCCTTACATCTTTCTCGCAGCAGATGATGAATTTCAGCTGTTTCATTAATATCTTCAATGAATTGTCCAAACTTTCCTACTTTACACGTAAAATGAGCTAGCTTCCCTGGTTTCAACATCAAATTTAACTCCAAAATTACTAAACAATCGTAGTTTACTCCACCATTAACTCAATTATATAAACCCTTTTACTCATCATATGAAACTTTCCCATCCAGTATTCAATCATTCATCAAATACCCATTTCAAAACCTCCCATCCATTTCCGGTTTTGAATAAAAATTCAGTATTTTTTGGGAATAAATACAGGAAAAATCGCATAATGCTAAACTAAACAAACCCAAAGCTTACATTTAAAAAAAAGGCAAAACAAAGAAGAGTTAAGCAAAAAATGGGAAGGGGAAGTGGTAACTGACCAGAAAATTGCGGTTTGCGGAAGAGTGGAGATGGACTAGAGCATGGGAGAGTAACGAAGCAAGAGCACTGGATTAACTATGCCATTGCTGATCTCTCCAAAGCGCCGGCGTTTTTACCAATATATATATATATACCTAAATATTATAATACAACACTACCAGATATCATTTTCTTAAATTTTATTAATCTAACACCATTTTATAGGGATTAATATCGTAATTTAATACATATTGTATAGTGTTTAAGTAGATTCATTAGATATAGAGATAAAAAAGTTAAGAAATATAACTTTTAGTTTTTATTTCACGTTGTCAAAAAAAATATAATCTAAACACTACAATATATCTATATAAATTAACCTCGTTATGCTCTTCAACTCATTGAATTAATATATATTAAATTACGATATTAGTCCCTATAGTTTTATTTTCAATTTTTTTAAATCATATTTTTTTTAATATGCTTTTAGGGAATCTAATGTGACAAGAACTTAAAATATGCACCTCTTGAAACGCGCATTCTCACATGGTGTCATGTCAATATTTTTTTTTGGAATGCGCGATTCAAAGAACGTGTCTTTGGTCATTGTTTAGGTGCGTTTCATGTAGCGTGTCTTATTATAAAGAGTATTAAATCAATAAAATTTAGAGAAATTATGTCTAATAGGTAATATTATAATATTTAAGGTCCTGTTTGGTTCACGGTATAACTTTTTCCTGGGAGGAATATTTTTCCCCCAGATGAATATACCCACGTTTGGAGACTCATTACCAAGTACCAGTTAAAAAATAATACTAACAGTAACTTTTTTTACTGTTTTCCCGGGAATATCTTTCCATCGTCTCCCTTAGGTATTTCATTATTCCCGTCCCCTGGTCTAAAATAGCCTTCTCCCTTCGTTTAACGCGATTCCGGAATGAAACTCTCGACTTCTTCATCGCCGCCACTGAAAGCGGTTCCGTTTAACGCGAGCTTGGATCCATCCGATCCAGTTGGGCTTTTGGACAAAGTCTTCGATTTTCTGGCCAAAGAAAGTGATTTTCTTCGAAAAGATAATGTCGATAAGGAGATTGCGACTATTGTGAGAGTTGCGAAGGAGAAGAATAAGAAGGCTGAAGAGGTGGATCCGAAGGTGGAGATAAAGGAGGAAATTAAAAAAAGAGGAGGTCAAGGAGGAAGTGAAGAGCGAGCCAAAGAAGATTGATAAAAAGGAAGAAGGTAGTAGCTCTGGTTTGAAAGGTTTGAATTTCTTAATTTCTTTTAATTTTTCTTATTATTATTTTAAATTTTTTGTATGCGAGGCTAACTTGTGGAAATTTGGGCCTCTTTAAAAATATAGTAATATGAGGTCTGCATTGCTCATTGTTTGATTCTTTTTGTTTTGAACTTTAGATGACGAAAAGGATTTAAAGGATTAAAATAGTAATTACTTACTAGGCTCTTTAGGGTTTAATTTTTTTATAGCACAGTTTGCTTGTTTGGAATGAAACTAAAAAATAAGACCATGCTCTACTTCTTTTTACTGTACTGAAACTTGAGCAGATGCTATTGTTTGTCGGATATGGAAAGGAACCTTATATTAAGCAAGCTCGAGCAAATTTCAAGAGTTGAATAACATAATCGAGATTGAGTTATGTGTTGTCTATGAATTTGACTCAAGCTCAAATACACCCCTTTAATGTAGTGCTGGTCCTATATCCTGTTGTATAGCAATTTTTTTTTCATGTTGTCTTTCACGAAATTCACTAAAAAAGTAAGTTAATTAGTGTCCCTAGTGTGAGGGCTTTTTAATGTTTATTTTGTTCTGAAAAGAATACATGGAAACATTTTGGGTAGGATTTTTTTGTCCTGGCATGTTTTGGACTTTAGTTGAAACGGGGGAGGTTTGTTTACATAAGCTTAATGATAGTCTTGGTGTAAGTTGGATTTGATGCTCCCTGAACTTGCATTCACCTAAAACTTCTAGGCATTTTCTTAGAAACATGGTAGTGAAGGATTTTAGTTAGCAACAATGTTTAGAAATTGAGGGAGGCCAGAATAGATGTTATACTTGGATCAATCATGCACTAATGTTGAATTCTCATAAATTCTTCTAGTATTGGATGTTGTAGACAGTGCTAGATTTCACAAATTGCTTCGTATATGTTGAATTGCATGGTGTTTTCTCCCCCCAAATCTTCTTGTTCTGTTAACTGGTTTAGATGTCTATTCTCACAATTGGGGCTAATGGTTGGTGTAGATGGTATGATTTTATTACAAGTGGTTATGCTTTTCAAATCCATAATTGGCTACAAAGATGTGCACCTGTTGATTTGATCTATTATAATGGATTGAAAAAAAGAAAAAGAAACATCATAGGTTCTTTACTTGACTGAGAAATGAACTTTTGTTTGATTTTATGCTCCCTTTTTGCTATC